AAGTCTCTTGGAGGAGAGACGAAACTTTTCACTAAAGAAGAACCATCCAGAAGACCTACTTATTTTTTCTTTTTGATTTTTACTACCTGGATTACTGAGATGCATCAGGACACTAATACATCTATATTTTGTCCACAAATCTGTCCAGATTAAACCCCCACAGTTTTATCTCTATCCATGGGTTTTTGACCGTTTGATCATATTTATAAAAGTCTGATGTCGAGTACAACAGTTGGATTCTGGAAGCGAGTAGTTGAAGCAAAATGAAACGTAAACAAACATGACTTCCAACTGACTGATCACGCAATAATTTCTCATATGGAGGGGGGCTGAAAAGTTCTCCCATCTGGTTGTGATGAGAACAAAACAACGCAATTTTTGTCATAAAATTGCAACAATAAGAGTGGATTCCAGCAGTTCGGAGGGAGCATGCAGAGTCCTTTACAATCACAGAGTGGACCATGAACTCCTCTGTAGAGCAATTCAATTCATTTCAGTTTATTTATAAAGCACCAAGTCACCAAAACGCCATCTCAGGTCTCTGTACAGAAAAACTAAAGAAGTAGCAGATTGTGTTGAATCGTTACATCACAGACTTCCATCCTGAGCAGCACATTGGTGACAGTGGGAAGGAAAAACTCCCTTAAAACAGGAAGAAACCTCTAGCAGAACCAGAACCACCTGCCTTGACCGGCTGGGTTTAAGATAAGATGAGATGAGATGAGATGAGATGAGATGAGATGAGATAAGATAAGACTTTATTGATCCCACAGTGGGGAAATTTACACATTACTACTGCTTAATACAGGAGAGGCTGAGAAGAATAATAAAAGATAAATAAAAGATAAACAAAAACAACCCCACAATATACACATGTGATGTATAGCAATGTATGTACTGTATACCAGTGCACATATACACATGTACATAAACACATATGCACATTTATATACAGTACATATATACACCTAAAGAAGGAGGACAGGAAAGAGACAAACACAAAAGAACTGCTCCAGCAGTCTAAGTCTGTAGCAGCAGAAATGAAGAATAACTCAGGAAACCTAAGTCTAACTATAGGATTTATCAAAAAGGAAAGTCTTCAGTCTAATCTTAAAAGTAGACAGAGTGTCAGCCTCACGGACAGAAACTGGAAGTTGGTTCCACAAGAGAGGAGCTTGATAACAAAGCTCTGCCTCCCATTCTACTTTTAGAAACTCCAGGAACCACAAGTAAACCTGCAGTCTGAGAGTGAAGTGCTCTGTTAGGAAAGTATGGAACAATAAGGTCTTTAAAGGCACAGTGTGTAGGATTTTGTCAAGTCTTTTAGCCGAAATTGAGATAATCACTAATGACAATAATAAAAAACATGTCTAACCATTGCAGACAAAGACCTTGTTTTATTATTTTTACCTTATAAAAAGCTGTTATATCTCCATGGTCGTGGGTCCCCACTACAGGCAGCCGCCATCTTGTCTACGAAGGCTCATGAAGGACAAACTGTGGTGGCGGTGTCACAAACGGTTTTAGTTGTAAAACTATAAATGTAATATTTGTTGTCTGTCATTGTAGCTGGGATAATTTTACTTATTAAAGCTCATAATCTTACCACCTGAAACATCACTAGCCCTGAAGCTGCTGGTAGACATCGCGGTTGGAATTATCAAAGGTTTTTGACACCTGAGAGACACCGTAGHAACTCCTTTGYGTTTGGAAGCGGGGGGTGGGGGTGGGGGGAGGACCAGGGAGGATGTTTCAACCACTMAACCACTAGATGTTGCTGAAAACAACAAATCCTACACAATGTGCCTTTAATAAGCAAAAAATAATAATAATTATAGAGTCAAAAGTGAGTCAGTCTGTTCTGCTGAAGCTTGGACCAAACTGGGTCTAACAGGACCACGATCCCAAACAGAGAGGCTGATCTAAAACAAAACAAGGTGTTGCAACGATTCAGAGCCCAGAACCAAAATGCTACAAATCAGAAACAAATGTCTACACATCTCCATGACCTACAGTGTTTTACAGACCAGTGGGTCAGAATTCCTCCACAAACACACCAGAGCCTGATAAGGTCAAACATAAAACCATTACAGAGACTTAATGCTGCTACAGGCTGCTGAACTCCAGCTTTCTTGCTGTATTTCTGTCTTTTTTTGCAAACTGTGTCAACCTGAACTGGTATTAGAGATTTATCTAACATTCTGTTACATAAAACCTTAAATATGAAAGAAGGCGCCTGTCTTTTTTACTCAACCTGTGATGCCTATCTCGTAGCAGCTGTTTTCACACTCCTTATCACATCAGGAGAAACGGGGGGTGTAGAGGAAGAAGAAGGAAAGAACAGATGAGTAAAAGATTTTGTCAGGAGAGCAGAGCAGAGGGGACAGAGAGGAGAAGAGCAGAGAGGGAGGTACGAGGAGGTGAAGCAGACGGAAAGAGAAGATGACAGGAGGTGAGTTGAAGAGAGAGTCGATGGGAAGGCAGCAGGGAGAGGACGTGTAGGAGGAACAACAGAGAGGAAGGAGAAGGTGAAGAAGAAGCCCTCGTCTTCATTCTCCCCGAGATGAGAGCCTTCACACAGGTTCTCTCCTCTTCCTCGGCTCTGGTCCTCTCCTCCTTTTAGATTTCATGGAGCATGAATCATAAGTTTACTGCTTCACAGCATGTGAGGACGTTTTATTTTTATCATCTGGATGCAGTGTGGGAACTTAAAATAAATCTGTTTTAAAACACTTTGTCTAAGTTTTGGGTCAAATCCTGCAGGAAACAGTCCTCATGATGATTTCTACTCTTTATATATATAAATGTGACCCAATACATCGAAACAAGTATTAAGTCCAAAAGTAGTATAAGGAGAAAARGGCAAATATAGTGTTTTGACTAAAACTTTAACAAAGATTGCATTTTGTCTAAATATAATGAATAAAAGCCTTATTAATGTATCATTTGAATGAACTGTCTGAAATAAAATCCTAACACAAAATTTTGAAGCACTTTTTTGAGCAGTAGCAACAAAAAAACTGATTTTGAGGAAAAATGCCTTAAAATTTTGAGATTTTCCCTGTGAGCTAGAAAAGTTTTGTTTCTTTTTAGCTGGAAAATCTCAATATTCAAATATAATTTGAGGTTTCCTCTTTATAAG